TCCTATTGGTCGACAGACAGGAAGGAGCAGGATCCATGTGCAGACCTGCTGTGCTGCTGCTTCCTGTTGACCAACCAAAGTGTAGTTTAGTTCAAATGAAATTAGTGATAAAATGTAAAACCTGTTTGTTGAAGGTGAAAGGATCCAGAGAAGCCATGACGGTCCAGGACTGGGCCGCTCAGCGCTGCACCATCTCCTACAGAGCTCCTGAGCTCTTCAACGTGGAGAGCCACTGCATCATCGACGAGCGCACCGACATCTGGGTAGCTGTTCTCCTTTAGCTGTTGTCCTCTTTTAGCTGTTGTTCCCCTTTAGCTGTTGTCCTCCTATAGCCGTTCCCCTTTAGCTGTTGTCCTGCTTTAGCTGTTGTCCTCCTTTAGCTGTTGTCCTGCTTTAGCTGTTGTCCTCCTTTAGCTGTTGTCCTCCTTTAGCTGTTGTTCCCCTTTAGCTGTTGTCCTGCTTTAGCTGTTGTCATCCTTTAGCTGTTGTTCCCCTTTAGCTGTTGTCCTGCTTTAGCTGTTGTCCTCCTTTAGCTGTTGTTCCCCTTTAGCTGTTGTTCCCCTTTAGCTGTTGTTCCCCTTTAGCTGTTGTCCTGCTTTAGCTGTTGTCCTCCTCTAGCTGTTGTCCTGCTTTAGCTGTTGTTCTCCTTTAGCTGTTGTTCCCCTTTAACTGTTGTCCTCCTATAGCTGTTCCCCTTTAGCTGTTGTCCTGCTTTAGCTGTTGTCCTCCTTTAGCTGTTGTCCTGCTTTAGCTGTTGACCTGCTTTAGCTGTTGACCTACTTTAGCTGTTGTTCCCCTTTAGCTGTTGTTCCCCTTTAGCTGTTGTCCTGCTTTAGCTGTTGTCCTCCTTTAGCTGTTGTCCTGCTTTAGCTGTTGTCCTCCTTTAGCTGTTGTCCTGCTTTAGCTGTTGTCCTCCTTTAGCTGTTGTCCTGCTTTAGCTGTTGTGGTGTGGTTCCTGTGTGCCGGGTCAGATTAAAGGTTCTGTTGGTTCTCCTGCAGTCCCTCGGCTGTGTTCTGTACTGCATGATGATGCTGGAGGGTCCGTACGATCTGATCTTCCAGAAGGGGGACAGCGTGGCCTTGGCGGTCCAGAATCCTGTCTCCATCCCCCCRTCCTGCAGGTCAGGATTCAAACTCACCAAAACTTTATCGCTTTGTTTGTTCAGTGGAAAAAACTGTTTGTTTTTAGCTTTTCTTTTGACCTGTTATAAAACTTATAACTATTTTTTAGCTTTTTGCCCTGTTGCTAATATTAGCTTCTAGCTACACTTTTGCAACTTTAGCTTTTAAAGTAGCCTTTTTTTCTACTATTAGCTTCAAACTAGCCCTTTAATACTTTTAGCTAACGTTTTGCAAYTTTTAGTGTTTTGCTACTTTTAGCTTCTAACTATTGTTCTGCTGCTTTAGCTTCTTGCTACTCTGTTTTCACTTTTAGCTTTTAGCCAACTTTATGCTACAATTAGCTTCTAAATTCCCTTTTGACACTTTTGAAACTTTTTTCTGCTTTTAGCTAACCTTTTATTATTAGCTTCAAGCTAGCAGTGTAAAACATTTAGCCATCCCTTTGCTACYTTTAGCTTCTAGCTACTCTTGCTACTTCAGGTTCTAGCTTGCCTTTTCTTATTTTTAGCTTTTAATAAGCATTGCTAATATTATTTTCTGCTGGCCTCATGACATTTTTAGCTAATATTTAGCTGCCCTTTTGCCAACGCAGCTTTAAACCATCAACTTTTAGCTTATAGCCAGCCTCTTGTAAATATTAGCCATATGACACCTTCAGCTAACATTTTTCTACTTTTAGTTTATGCTTTGCTACTTTCAGCCTTTTGAAACAGCATTTAACCACCATTTAGCWGTTTTAGCTTTTAGCTTGTCTTATGGTACTTCTAGCTTCTACATAACCTTGCTGATCTTTAGCTAACAGTTTGCTAATATTAGCTTCTTCCCTTGTGATACTTTCACTTAGCTTTTGGACGTGTTTATGTTGTAGCTACTTTTTTTCTGCTTTTAGCTGATTATAAACATGTAATGATGTTTTAGCTGAGTTTCTGTTTCACTTCGGCTGTTTGTCCGTCTGCAGGTACTCTGAGGGCCTGAAGGTTCTGCTGAGCTCCATCATGGTGTCAAACCCCCAGGAGAGACCCAACATCGGCTGGGTCCTGGACCAGGTACAGGACCTGCAGAGTCGCAGTCCCAACACTCAGACCAACATGGTGTGATGATGATGATGATGGTGATGATGATGATGATGATGATGATGGACTCTTTAATTCCAGCTTTAACTGTTTTAGTTTAAAAACGTCTCGTTTTATTGGATCGTCTCGGTTTATTTTAAATATTTATTCATCAGAAACATTTAAACTGAATCAGATGCCTTAAAGTGTCGTTTTCTGCACGTGTGCAATATTTACTTTATCATCTGTGTATTTGTACACACAAAGATTAGATTTTACATTTCCTCAGCTCAAACATCAAACGTAAAAATATCTTATTTTAAACTTCAWGTGTACGAAACATCAGCTGCAGTTACACCTGAGGACATGACAGGTAGATTTATTTAATTTAATTTATTTACATTGGACAAGCTTTTATAACGTATAACTAGCTGCTTCTTGATTTAGAAACTTATTCTATTAAAAAGTTGATTTTTTTATCTTTATCAACATCTGCTCCTGAGGGGATAAATCCACCTTACATAACTGCTAAAAGTACTATTTATTAATATTTTTGTTCAGTATAAACTAGT